TTCCTCTCTGATTGGTCTCTTCTCTGCTCTCGTCCCCTGGTGTTGGGTCAGCGGGGGGGATGTCACAGGTGCAGATTCAGTTTGTCGAACACACAAAAAAAAAAAAAAAAAAAAGAATCCAGGAATATGTCCATGATAGCGAGCTGGATAGCTTGGCTCTCAAATTAGAGAAAATGTTCCAAAGAAACCTACTGGATACCTGAGAGGTAGTTCCCCCGGGACAAGGCGGTTGTCCCAAATCTTCAAAAAAGTTCATAAACGTCCAATGCAACTGTTCAACTTCCATTTTAGCTCCTTCCCATTCGATAAAACAGCTGTGCTCCGTTTCTTTTTGATCTTTTTTTTTTCTTTTTGAGGCGTTCGCCGGTTTAAAATAAGGGAGCACACTCAAGCTTAAAAATCGAGAAGCTTCGACCCCTGAGGAAGATGAATATATTTCGTCTAACAGTCTCAAAACGGTTCCTCCGAGGTGTGCAGCACGTTGTCCAAGGTTTGGAGCAAAGATTCATTTCATTTGGCCACAGACGGTCATGACCAAGACAGGAAAAACGATAACTGATGAGGTAATAAAAAAAAAAAAAAATAGACTAACACAAAAGAAATACATGAGGTAATGAAAACATTAAAGATTTGACACATGGGTGTTATCGGATGTGCCCATCGCATAGCTTATTACTACTTCAAAACTACAGCAGATGGATGTGTTAGTAGGATCTGACTTTAAACACGGAAAACATTAAAACAGGAAAAAATACCAGTATTGGGATAAAATAGCAGCTGCATTCAAGTGGCTAGTTGTTGTCTGTTTTTTTCATGTTTTTAAATATTCACGGAGATCCGCTGAGTTTGGGATTGAAAAATAAAAAGTCAGGAGCTCAGGTGAAGGATGGTGTCACCCGTTCAGGTGCTGGACTCTTTGGGAGGTAGGTCCTCGTTGGTGAGAGACGTCACGATGCAGACGGGGCTGTCTGAGGTAGTGCTGCTGATCATCCTGGAGATTTGGCCGATGCGCTCCTCGACGCAGCCGGCTGATAATCGGGCCTCTGCGTCGTGGTCCCAGCATTCCTCGATGGTCTCGCACATCTGGCTCAAACCCTGGAGTCACAACCAAGACATTAGAAAAGTTACAAATTGTAGATCTTTATTATTTCTTATCTTATTAAGGCAACACTAGGTTGTTTATACACCTTCAAATAACAGGCTGGTATGACTTGCTTTATGGCATATGTCACACACCGACAACCAGAGCAGCGAGCTAAATCTCACCATTCTAAGAGCTGACATCAGGGCAGAGCCACCGAAGAAACCAAAGAAGAGGTTGATAAAGAAAAAGAAGAAGTGACAGAATTCTGTTTGATATATTTAGAAAGGTAATCCCTCACTTTCTCCATTATCTAAAGGTGAAGACCCAACTGACAAAGCTTCCAAAGTAACAGTCATAACTGATTCAGGGAATTATGAACACGTTTCCAGTAAATACAGCTCGATTCACTGGAACAAAGGATGCAATGCATCCTGGGATTGCATTTAAAATTCCAGGAGCTATTCTTCCACTGTTACTCACAGGATGTTTGAGCCAGCACTCCTTGATGGCTGGACGCATCTTCTTGTGCACGACCACATCCTGCAGATCATCCAGGGTGGGATGCTGGCCAATCTCCTCCTCGAACGGCAGCATGTACTCACCAATCGTACCTGAAGAGACGCAGCGAGGCCACAGGATGGAAAAACGTTACACAGGGGTAATGCGCAGTATTTCTAACTTTAAAAGGACGGAGCAAAAAAAATCAACTAGTTATGTATTTAAACAGTAACTTTACCCACATTACACCATTCACCTGGGTCAGACGGCGTTCGGAGACAAAACGAAAACTAATCCTTTGTTTATTAGGTCGGCCTGAGGCACAGTGACCTATCACCTGTGGGGGAAGCAGCATTCCTGCACTGTTTGACTCACCATCAGATTCCGAGCAGCGGGACACCAGCTCCCAAAGCACCAAGCCCATGGCGTACATGTCTATCCTCAAGAAGGAGTCTCGCTGGAAGTTGATGGCTCCCTCCAGCACCTCTGGGGCCATGTAACGCCTCGTACCCACCTGGCAGGAAAAATGGATTCAAGTCTTTGTGAGTGTTTGCGGTAACCTTTTACATTTAACATGCAACCATCCTTAATGCAAAACAATGCTTTAGTATCAAACAACATGGAGACAGGCTGCAGGGTAAACCTTATCCTGTTACTCTGTCGCCTGAATAAACAGCTTAGAATTCTTTTCATGATGAATCATTAACTCAGTGTTTTCCTCTGCAATAGGAAACAACCTCTGTGTGTTTTATTCATGACTCCTACTTATTGTATAAACACTGAGACTTGAAAATTTTCACGTTTTTTTCAGTGATGCAATGAAAGATTTTTTTCATCGCACCCCTGGAGTCATACAAATAAAGTATGAATCAAGTAACTGACTGCATAGGTAGTGAACCTGTGTAATGCTCCAAGAAAAAGAAGGGCAGGGTTATTTGTGCATGCATCAGTGTTCAAGCAGACATTAAAAACACAGTGTGGTCATTTCATACCTGGCCATGAGTGTCTCCTGGAGGTTTTCCTGGTTCAAATCGTACAGCGAGCCCAAAATCTCCAATGATTGCAGTTAAATCATCGCTAAGCATCACATTCTTACTCTTGAAGTCCCTGGGAAAACAGTTTCAGAGGGTATTAAAATGACGTAACTCTAGAGACGGAACGTCAAACAAATTAATTCCTGGATTTCAGGGTGAAATTGGGAAATCAGGTAAAACCACAGAAGTGCACTGTACTGAGCGGATCGGGTACAGAAGTCAGGAAAGACAGAAATGGCTCATGTTTCTCTTACCTGTGTGCAATAGTGGGTTTTGGCCCCTCGCCCTTGTAGCTGGGAATGTCCTCATGGAGGTAGGCCAAGCCGCGGGACATGCTCTCCGCTATGTGACACAGCTCACCCCAGGACACCATGTTACCCTTCAGGTGGTCCGTCAGTGAGCCCTGGGCACACACAAGCAGATTCAGGGACAAGGATTAACAACCGCCCGAGAATCTAATCTTTAATCCATCTGCAGGAATCTTAGTCAGAGTACAAGGAGTTAGTCGACCGTGACCCTGAGAACGGACATTCAATACACAAAAGGAGCAGGAGTAGGTTATTTTTTGCTTTGAGGTTCGAGCCAGTGAAAATTCATAAAGCATGAACTTGAAAGGTCCAGTGTGTAAGATTTAGGTGAAAGGGAACTATTGGCAGAAATTTAATGTAGAATAACCCAATCATGATGTTTTCACTAGTTTGTTTCAACTAAATTGTATGAATTGTAGTTTTCTTTACCTCAGAAAAAACCCTTTATATTCAAATACTTTATATTTACATCGAGGGGACTCTCTGTACGGTGGCCGCCATGTTTTTTACATGAGTCCAGACTGGAAAAACTAAACACCTGGAGGTTTTATGACAACTGAAGCTACCACAGGTTCTCTGTCATGTTTGGAAGAGGAGGGGGAGGTGAGGGGTGTTCAGCTGCAACATGCAATTTCAACACTAGATATCACACAATTCTACACACTGTACCTTTAAATATCATCACAAGTGTTGACGAAAATGAACATGTTGAACTTAACAGACACGACGAAGGCACAGACGGAGCTAAGGCAATTAACTGTGGCTAAAGGTCTTTTTTCACAGCAGACATTTTGAAATGTTATCATAGGAAAAGCACGAGTTCCTGTTAGCATTACAAATGTCTCTGTTCAGTTCGAGTGTCCCAGTAAGTGTTAGGGTGAGCAAGCAACGACAAATAACCAGAAACCTGATGCAGATTAAATTGAACTGAGCCATTTTACATTTCCTTATTTTCCTTATTACATGTCAAAATGTCTGAAAGGCGATAAAAAGTCACCGAACGATTGTAATGCTGCATTCGTGGTTATTGCATTGAGTGTTTAAGACCAGAGCGACGAGCAGAGTTCTAGTGGGCTTATGGCTGCTCGTATTTGACATAGATGTGTGTATTATTTTTAAACTCGATCTGAGCAACACATCTCTTAAAGGCACACTGGGCACTGCAAAGCTGCCATAAGTAATAAAATCCCATCTTTAATGAAAAGCTGTGTGCGTCTTTTGTTCAGGTAAATAAAAGGCATCAGCCAATATAGGAAGGAGGTCCAGGTCAACATCGGAGCCCTGTACCTTACCATGAATTGTGTGTGAGAGAACTATCTCTCTCTTCTCTCCCCTCTTTTCAACCCATCTCCCCTCTCCTCCCCATTTTTCTCCGCTCACCCCAACCAGTGGAGGCAGATGAGCGCCCACATTGAGCCTGGTTCTAGAGGTTAACAAGGGACTTTTTCCTCCACAGTCGCCGAAGTGCTGCTCATTGTGGGAACTGTTGAGTTTCTCTATATTAAATAAGATTTTTATGGTCTTGACCTTCTATGTAAAGTGCCTTGAGATAATGTGTATTATGATTTGAGCACAATATACAAATAACAGTGAATTGAATATATGTGTATGTGTATATGGATGTGTAGGAGTAGACGTGTTCTCACCCTCTCATGAAACTCTGTGATAAGCCACAGCTCCGTCTCCAGGTTGGATCCATGTTTCTCTGCAGCGATGTAACGCAAGAGGTTTTCATGTCGCATCCCAGGAGTCAAGAAAATGTCCCGCTCGTTCTGCCATGACTGCTTGTCCTATACAAAACATGATATACAAACCAGAGAGTTAGGTTTAGTGCTTCGGGATTTCTACAAGCTCTTTTGAAAATAACCTGGTCCATCCCTTAAGTAGAAACAGCCTCCGTTTGCGCCTCTTATATTGAGATTACATTCAAGCAGTGTGACAACTGATTACGAGTGCCCAGTAATCCATGAAAAACCTGAGAGTGATAAAAAGGCATTTCCAAAATCCTAAATGAAAAATATATGTTGTGTGTCAACTATACAACAGTGTGAGATGTTTTAACCCATTTCTCAAGTGGCTGCTATTTTTTCATTAAATGAAAAGAAACATCAGTTATAACCATGGAGTGTCTGTGAAGAGGGATGACGTATCTCCACTTCCTCCCGCTATCCAAAAATAAATATATACGCTGCCATCTTGCCCAGAAGACAGATATTTGAGTGTGTGATCCAGTGGCGACCTTGGTTTTAAAAACCAGGGCCACAAAACAACATTTGACAAGATAAAACCATATAAATGTAATATTAATATTTCTTTCGTACCTGAATAGGGAAGATCTTTACAGCAACATACTCGCTCATCAGTTGGGCCTTCCAAACACAACCAAAGCGCCCCCTGGCTTTGATTTCCAGCAGCTGCAGAGGTTTCAGACCCACCAGTGGGGATGGAGGAGTGGGTCCTGGATCCTACATCACAGACGAGGAAAACACGTGTCATTCTCCTGCCACACGTATCTCAAATGTGACACCAAATATTTAATGACCTGGGTGACCGGCATAGACAGAAACAGCCAACACGGCGGATGAGCAGAGAGGAAACTTCCAACAAAAGAAATTAAAAAGAAAAACCTCTGCAGTGAAAGATTGATCTCACGTGTCACCACTTTAGATGAGAGTCGGAGTTGAGTGTCTCACCTCGCTAAGGTCTACGTGGCCGTAGGGAGGTTTGCGGTGGCGGTACATCCACAAGGCCAGGACGAGGGCCAGGGACAGCACACACAAAGGCAGCAGGGAGTACACCAGCACGTTGAGCAGGGACGGTACCCGAGGTGGAGGCCGGATTTTCACTGTCAAGGAGCATAATAATTAAAGCCTGTCAGCTTCATGGCGTGTAGGTTACCGGTGGCATCGCAAATATCCCTCCCAGACTGAGATCAGATTTTAAAAGAGCAGAGCAACATTCTATCCAGACTGCTCAACCTTGATCTTCGACTGGAAAGTGATTAGTCTGTGGAAATGCTGCAAACAGGCAGGTGAGAGGCTTCACTTAGTCACCTTCTAGACAGATGAATATCACTGTGGACTGTGCAAGCGCTTAAAACAGAATGCTTCGGCCTTAGTCTCGGATTCCGCTTGCAAAACAACACAATACCGGCGAGACAAATTGCAAGGGATGTGATTATGGTACACACAAAGCTTACAGGGGTTAATTTAGCGACATTTAAAAAGGAAAAAAATCAAAGCGTGTGTAAAAGGGATCATAATATCACAATCCTGGCATTTTTCTCTTCCTAATACTGTAGCTGCAGGGATAAGCTCCCACTGATCAGAGGGGAAAAGCAAAGACCTATTTTTTGCTTGTTCTATATGTAGGATGCGTTTGCCGCTCACCTCGGTTGCCAATGCCAATCATGTCAGGAAGGTGGGTGAATCGCTCATTGCAGTAGTTGCCCTCGCAGCAGCAGAAGAAGACCTGAGGGTTTTCATCCATGGAAACACACTCTTGCCTAAAACAACAGATGAAACACACACACACATTATCGCACAGTTAAATAAAATGTCAAAACAAGATACGCGTTTAACTGTTTTAATAATTTAGAGCAAATTACACATCACAAACCAGGATTGCCTTTCCACATCTAGACAGTGCTTCCGTGACTTAACGGCAAATTAATGTTTATCCCATTTATCCAATCTTTGACCTTTTTCGCTCGTTTATTTTGGTTCCTGGTAAGAAAAGACTACATTTGTTGAGTTATTTAATAGCTTCTTTTTAATGAGAACAAACGATCTTATTCCTCCTAACTCAGCAAATGTTCCATATTGAGAGGAATCGCAGGATTTCTAATACCATACGCACATAACTGCCCATCTCTGCTCTTTAATGCCACAATTAATCTTTGTGACATCGTCTCTCGACTCGCTCGACCCTGCCCAACCTTTTTAATCACCTTTCATTGTCTGCCGCTATTTTACGGCGCTTTTCACTCAGATTAAATTGACCGGGAGCAAATTTACTTTTGCGAGTCCCATTATATTCCCCCAGTGGTTGTAATTACAGCCCAACAGCACTTCAGGCCCCGAGCGATTCCCTGGAAACCGTCAACATTTTTGCAGCAGCATCTGAACCTAGGATGTGTATGTGTGCATCCCATTCTGGCAGAGCTTGTGAAAAATCGGCTTTTTTGATGTAACGTGGATCATCATCAAATATTGACTGTGAAATGAAAATTGCTGTCGTTAAACTGCTATTCAACGACTTGAGTCTTGAACCTGAAATACGCGGAAACTGCAGGTCCCTCAGCTGGGTCATCTGGGGCGGATTACTGCAGCTGAACTACTTCAAAACCCTGTGGCTTGAATATGAAAGATTAGATGGTTTGATGATGCCACACAACTCTGACTTCTGATCAAATTCTCCTCCTGAGCGGCCTGGTGCCACCGCATCTATCTGCCATCACAGAGCTGCCTGGTTATTTCCAGAAAGAATAAATAGGAGCTGTGCTGGTTGCACAGCATTTTCCCAAAATAAATCTCTACTTGTGGAAATCACTTCCCCCATCTAATGGAGTCTGCTTCTGTAAATGCTTTTATAGAAGGCCTGGAAACTTAATTTTGAAATGACTCCAGTCTACCCTCAACCTGTGTGGCTGGCCTTACCGTTTGTATCATGTAACATATTAAATGACTTACTCTCAGTATAATTAGTTTTCTCTCTCTTCGTGTTTGTGGATGGCTGAGTTCTAGTTTGTTAGATTTTATGTATGAAATGAAACAAATATCAGAGGAATTGCGTGCCAGAATATTAATCCATAGCTATCTAGAGTATTCATTAAAGGTTTGAGTAATTTCACAATCAAAAATAGGAAAAGATTTGCTGATTACCTTCTCAAATGTATATATTTACTGCCTCTCTTTATTTTATATCACGGTAAAAGTAATATCCAAGTGGTTGTAAACATTAATCATAAAAATGAGCAATCTTTGGACATTAGATTGATATTTTATAGATTGATTGATGATCAAAACAATTATTAGTAGCAGCCCTGTCATTATCTTCTAGTAGTACTGATGTAGCCTTAGGTCTGTGTGCAGTGTGGCAGTAAAACCATGGACCATGTGAACTCAGAGAAATGCTGGCGGTTAAATCCGTATTTTAAAGCAAATCAATCTCTAAATGGTCAAGTTAATCTGCCAATGTATGTATCCTGTATCTCTTTGTTTTGTGTCATGTTTTTTCTGTAGAGCTATGTTTGTTGCATCTAATCATTTTGAATGTGTTGATCCATTGTTTACATTATAACATGAAGAGGAAAAACAGCTGATCGTCACATTTGAAGCGCTGCAACCAGGAAATATTCAAGTGATCAGTAAATGAAGGAATTATTTTAGCATCTCTGACTTCAGGTCATGGAAATAATAATGGACTGAACCTGAGGCCGTTGTACTCGCTGCCGTTCACTCAGGACACGAGCCACACACCTAAACTATAAATGCATGGGTTGGCGGCACCCTTGCTCCGTGACCCCACCTGTCATAGCAGTTGAAGTCGTCCAGCCAGCAGCCTTTCTTCACCAACTTGATGGTCCCTGAGGAGTTGAGCCAGGAGGCGTAACAGTGCAGTCGCTTGTCCTTCTCCCCCTCGCAGCGCTCGAAGCCGCTCTGGTTGGTCCTCTCCGTGCGCCAGTTGTCATTGTAGTACACACACTCCCGGGTCTCTGCTTCGCCCAGACTGTACCCTGCGATGGACAGAAGGCCTCAGTCAGCTCACACCGTAATGAATTGAAACTCAGTGGCGGAAGCGCGGACATATGGCGCAGGCTCCGCTCAGTGCCACCAAGAAACATCACTTGAGCCGAGCCTCTCTCATCTCTGAAGGCACGCGGCCAAATTTTGGGAGGTCTCTGTAGTGAAACGGGAGTTCCTCAGGGCTCGGAAATTTTCGCTGAATAGTTTCTCTGCTTAAAATAATTCAATAAAAACTCATGTCCGAGAGTGACAAGGCAAAAATAAGGAGGGGGGGGGGTGACAGAATTTAATTAGCGATAGAAGAACAATGATCTGCTCTGCTGTGGTGTAGAAACACACACATACACACACCGACACGCCACTTCTATAGATAACAACGACTCCTGCATTCTCCTGGAGTGTGACACATCTGGAAAGAACAGATAAGAGCTTCTTCTTTAAGGGGAAACCAAGCCGAAACGTAACAATGGCTGTCAGTCTCCTAATGCTGAATTCCTTAAAGGGGGGGAAAAAGGGGTTTTTATTATTCATCTTCGTGGATTAAGGGTGGACACACTCGAGCAGCGGGTAGGAGACGTGTAAAGCAGATAACACTCAGCCGTACATGTCATTCACAATATATCCTATGGACATCCATGCCTGAGCTTTGTTCAGGGGAAAAAATAGTGCCTGTCTCTTTAAATCCATGCCTATAGGAGGCTGCCCATCCCCCCAGTGTTACCCCCACCAACCCATTACGCACGCACACACTCACAGGCACACATCCACTTAAACATACATGCATTTAGTTGTCCAGCAGCCATACAATGGACGTCATAATGGAGGATTCACGCAATGGGCAAACATCTCTGCTCAATATTAAAAGGGAGGAAGATAATAAAAAAATACACACAACAGAGATGCTCAATGCTCCATTGAGCCGAGATGGCATTTGTGATATCTGTGGTCACATGATCCAGGAGGACTTTTACTACTAGATCATTCCCCAACCCCCCTCCCTGTGTCACTTAACCGAGGCTTACACCACAACAACACGAATTGTGGAGAAGCAGCTTACTACACAACACTAAGTAATCTATAAACCATAAAGGCACCAGCCCCAGTGCGCAATTTGGCACACAGGAGACAGCTGTGCCACAATTTCTTTTTTATTATTATTACAGGAAAAACTATAAGAAAAAAACGCACACACACGTCGCACGAAGGGGAAATTGTGTTGTTTGTTTGTTGTTAGTGACCCAAGGTGAATTTGCACATGAAGATCAGCCAGTGTGAGTTGTGAGGAAACAGCCAAACAAAAGAAAAACAACCCTCATGCTCAATTTCACGTGGTGAGCAAGTCCCAGCCTTTTTGGAACAAGATCTGTGTGTGTGTTGAGTGTGTAACAGTAACCTCAATCCAGGGTGAAGACCTGACTGGAGACAGAACAGCTGATGTCAAATCAAACGCCATTGATTTGTTGAAAAGAAGGAGAAAAGGAACAGGAGAAGGGGAAGTGTGGCTGCAGCTCAGGGTGCAGCCACAAAACAAGAGATGGAGCCTCTAAGGTTTCGGGATGTTGATGCAGCTGCTGCTTTCTATTCCTGCCTCTGTTAATAAAGGGGGACGCAACAGTTTTAAATTTGGATTAGTAAACGTGTGTGTTTTAATGTTTAACGTCGCACAAAGCATTTAAAAGCAGTTAAAACGCAATTGTTTTAAAATGGAAGAAGCAGCTGCTGGTCTAATAAAAGCTGGAGTTGGGGGTGGGGGGGGGTCGAGATGCGTTTAAGGGACAAATGGAGGAAAAGGCGATTAAGGGGGGGAATTGGATAAAGCCGGAGCTGAACGGTGCCAACAAAGTTCAAACTGACGTAAACTCGTTCCCCGGGTTGAGATTTCAAACAGTTACGCACACGTGTAAATGTTTAAACGTGAGAATAAAGGAGAAAACACAAGAGTCGCGAAGGGTCCGAGTCCAACAATAGCCGCTTACCTGCGCACAAAGTTCCCAGAAGAAGTGAACAAGTCAGCCATGAAAAAGACATGTTCCGTTTCGAATACAGCAAACACCGCGTTCCCCCGAGTGTCCGTGGCCAACATTCAAACTCAGCTGGCCCGCAACATCGGTCCGGGATCGAACCCAACGCGACCACGGGGCCTTCTCCTCCCGCCCGGGTCCCTCCAGCAGCGGTCCGGGCACCAGCGGCACAGCGCGTGTCAGCAGCCGCGACGGCGCAACAATGTTGGGAGGAAAAACGACGGGAGCGACCGAGGTGACTTCCAGGCGGTGAGTCCGGGGCACAGCCGCAGCCTTTCGCATCCGAGCCCGAACACCGAGCCGTGGGACCATCCGAGGCGGCCGCTCGGCGCTCTTTTTCTCGGGGTTGCTCACTCGGGTAGTCGCGCCGCTGCGTCGGGAGGTCGGTCGGGGTTTACATGCATGTTACTGATCTGTGTCCAAAATGGCTTCTAAATGGGGAATGGGCTGCAAACAGGGAAACCCGGATGTGTAAACACAAAGAGGGGAATTCAGGCAGCCAGCGAGTGACCTTAACACGACACCGCAGACACACTCACGACCGATCCCACTTTATTTTAGCCTCAATTTTCACCATGTTCGCATTATTTTACGCGCAGGGACACTTAGGGAGGATGGAGGGAGGTGTTGGTGGAAGTCGTGCGCTCTCCTCGTCGCTGTTTGTCCCGGGCTCAGGAAAAACGCACAAACACTGGCACTTTGTGTTCGACAGAGTTTTTTTTTTTTGTTTGTTGTTGTTGACTTCTTTCGGGTTCTATTCTCAAACTCGAGGGTTTTAAATGAGAGTTTACGCACATTTGCGTCGAGGGAAAAGTGCAACACGTTGGACTTGTTCTTTTAAAATCTTTGAAAACGATGTGATGCAATGTTTTGGTTGCGAAACAGCTGCAACACCAGATACAAAGACAGTGAAGACACACAGCCTGAGTATTACATTTATTTAGAGGAACTCGTACAATGAACTAACACTTACACACTAAACACATTAAATCAGAGCCTGTACAGCAACATGGGCTTATTTTATGTGATGAATAACTTCACATCCACACGTAATATTATAAAATCATATTTTTTCTATCTGAATGATCTTTTATGCATAAGCAGCAGTGCTATAAATAGCTGACCTCATTTGGAGTGATACAATAATTACAAATTACAAATTTAACCAGTGCAACACGAATCCATTTTTTTATCCCCATCACAAAACATGATCAAGTCATCCAGATCTCTGAATACAAACAGTTGTCAATAGTAATCGAGTATCGTGGCACGCAAGTTTCCGCGTAGCATTTAAGAGACGCTTTCTCAAATCTGGAGTCCTCTGTGTAGAATAATAAATCCCATTATCACAGACAAATCAACAGTGACGTCGTTAAAATGCCATTAGGCCTTGCTCGCAGGTCCCTCTCCCTTACTCGTCTTTGACATCCAGACTAATGGCGTGTTGGTGACACTCGGCCAATTCATGCAGCAAATGGCCCAGGAATAAGGTTAGCTATAGGTAATCGCTGTTAAACTAGTGCCGTGGAGTGTAACTCAAGACCAAGCATTTCCTTATTAAGCTATCCTATATTGACCCGGTAACTCGATAGAGGCCTCGAGTGAAACCTTGTAAAGACGGATGCTCTGTTGTCATGACAGTTGGAAGAGAAAGCACATGAGTTCTCATTAAAGGTCCAGCAGCCACAGCCATGGTGTGACATTCCTAGAAGAATGAGAGCACAAGGGGCGAGATGATGCAGTGGTGTTTAAAACAAACATGAGCTATGAACTGTGAGCCGATTGTGTGGTAAAAACACAATCTGACCTCAGTTACACACATCAACACACAATACATACAGGCTTTATGCATAATATAAATGATGACGTCCACATATTCATCGATTAATTAATAAATCAACATTTCTGTCCTTGTGTTTTCTTTATTTATCCAAAGCTTCTAGTTATTTTCATGTGTTTGCGTCACTGCAGCTGAAACTTTCCATTGTGATCACTTTGAGGACCCTGAGGTGAGCGTCAAGACGTCACAGTAAAATAGATAAATGACACTAGGTGGTAGCAGAGCTCCCTGGGGCAGGCGCTGATCCCCCTCAACCTGTGCAATATCTGTCTTTCACCCTTGATTTATCCTCTGTATATAGAGAAAATACACACTTTCTATTGTTCACCACCAAACATTTATCAGTACGAGGCAATGTGTGTTTGTGTGTGTGTGTTAAAAGGCCGTGTGGCTGCTTTCTTAGTTTTAATTATGGCATTTTGTTTTGTTGCTTAGTCGGCCACAAGTTTTTCTTTTACAATCAAAACATTTTAATTTACCTCCTGGATAAATAAAATGCCCATCTATCTATTTGATCATCTGTTCTCAGTGGTATCCAGAATACCTCATATAACCTGGTAATGGATCCATTAGTATGAGGAAAGGCACAGCACTTAAAGGTTCTGTACTTATGGCGCATAATAGAAAGCAATTACCAGAATCATAGCCTGCAGCCGTTTCTCCAGTGAGATATGATGGTTAAGTTCGGAGTTTCACACTGAGCAAGTATCAAAAAGGGAAAATAAGATTGAAGAAATTGTAGGATCACTCCTTTATTCAAGCCTTTTGAATCAATCAGTACAAAAATAAAACAACAAGCAATGTCAGACATTTTCTTCATCTTTTATTATTTTGCAGCCTCACAGAGTCAGGGTGAGAGTAAGTGACAGTGTGTGTCCTCGGTCATGTGGTTGTGTGACAGTGGGATGGTTTCAGAAGTAGTTTGCAACCCTGCGGACAGACTGGATGTTGGGGTTCTCCGCCTGCCACTCCATGTGGGTGCAGTAGTTTCCTCTCTCCACGATGTACATGCGGCCACGGTAGTTGGGCTCCTCGTACAACACCCAGCTGTTTGGAAAAATAAATATGCAATATTTAGTGTGAACAAAATATATACATTACAAAGTAAAGCTTGGACATGTGATAATCAAAAGGCCATTGGTTTCAAACTCTAAGTATATTCACAAGGGCATTGTCAAGTACTACTTTACACTTACTAGTGAATACTTCCTTGATATACCCTAGAAATAATCACTTAATGCGTCATACCTGCCAGATAATATGAAGTAGCTATTGCCAGAGTAGCTAGTAGTAAATTGGGGTTAAAAAAAGTTATTCTTCCTTTGTGCTGCACATTTAATAGAATCGAGAAAACCAACCATGTTTTATTAAAGTCTATATTTTTCAATCAGTGTGATGGTATGAACCCTTGTATCTGAAATTGATGTTTATGGTTTGAATGGCAAGTTTAATGTCTGAAAACATTTTCTCATTGTTTTCTCCTAATATTTTATTCAATGTAACTCTGTTTATCTTGCCCTCAGTTATTAGGAGAAGTATTTGTGTTAGCTTCTCACAATATTTTCTAAACGCGTTAGTGACATGTCCACAGCAACAAGGACACTCAAACATTTTCTGTTTAATGTTTGTGACCATGTCACCACATCGTCCCTGATTTGAGTTGTAGCTTTGCCATAGTGACTTGTGTTTAAAGTCCCCCCCTGCCTGCTACTCTCTTCTAAAAAATGAAAAAAGTAATCAACAATAATCATTTTCAATGCTCAGAGCACCACAGACAAAATCATTTCCCTCACAGTTGGATTTTACACATTCTTGACAAATGAAACTATCTGCATGATTAAACAACAAAAGAGGCAGGTGACAAAATATGGCTTTTGCAATTTGCGTGACATGACTTTTAAACAATTTGCAGTGCATCCATCAGAGAAGTAAACTGAACCAGAATACTCTGTCAGATGTTAAAAAGTCTTAAATCAAACCACTCTCCACAGAGATACGTACGCTCCATCTCCGTAGACCTTGATGGAGTTGATGCAGTTCTTGCTCAGGCCTCGCGCCTGCAGAAATGGACAGTCGTCGCACAGCTCCACGCACTGGCCGCCGAAGTTGTCTCCGTCGAACAGCTCCATCCTGTAGTGCTCTCCATGCTGGGGAGGATAATGACATGCCGGTTCGCTGAGTCATAGCAACAGTGTTCGACTTCACCTCACTGCAAAGAGCCAAGGCCTTCTCATTGTGGCAGTGATCACATTGTGTGCATCAGGCACTTGCTTGTTGAAATCTAAAGGTTCCCTGTATATGTGAATAACTATATATATATATATATATTTACAGCCCATAGTTTGTCTGAAGTGAACCAAATGCTTTTTCTTTCTGTCTTTACAAGATGTGAGAAGCCGATATGAGTCTGTGCTGCCAGAATAATTTCATGCATCACTATTCTGACTTTGATTTGTCTCACAAAAGAGATCTGCCTCTTTTTTTTTTTTTTTTTACTGTCCAAATATTTGTCTGTCCCTGGGGTCTCTCACACACACACACACAGTCTTACCATCCTGATTGGCTTGCAGGAGCCCATGTGATCATTGTGGGCATTCCAGCGCTGGAATTCCGGGTACTCCCCGTGCTCCAGAATGTACTGTTGACCCTTGAAGTCTGGGTGGTCAAAGCAGATGAAGGCCCCACTCTCCACACGGACAGAGTTGACCCTGTTCATGAAGCCTCGGTCCTGGAAGTTGTCACAGTCGCTGCAAACCTCCAGCTTCCGCCCAGTGAAACATTTCCCCTCATAGAACACGATCTGTTTTTTGTTTCCCCCACAACAGTGAAGATTAAAAGAGGCAATTGATGGAATTAAACACTGAGCTGCAGTTAAACAGAAAGATATCTCACAAAAATTCCACGTTCCACCTGAGGTTCGACCAAATTACCGTCTTTTTTAATAGACATTTGTTTGTGAAACACCTTCGGTACACAGGCTTCAGAGATACTCACCTTTCCTGAGTACTGAGACATTTTCCCCTGATAGCTCTTCCAGACAAGTCACACAGTATAGGAATAGAAAAAATTTTTGGACACCCAGATATATATGGCCGACACAGAGCGCGGTGGTATCGCGAGGCCGTCGCAACAAAGGCACAACAATGGGGGGTTTAGACGTTTTGCCACATGGGCACTTTCTCTTACATGTGCCACTGCTGATATTGGACTTTGGCTCTTGACAGCGAAACAATGGAGCGGGGGATTTTGCTTTGATTGGGCTTTGAGAGTGATGCTGCTGCACTGAGCTGGAGCCGCACTGTAATATGTGGGTCGCGTCCAGATGTGGAGGAAAACACGGAGAGCAAACGTTAAAGCACACATGCAGATCAAATGACATTCATGGTAAATAAAAAGTGAAAGTATGAAAACAGGTGTGGTCCTTGTTCATTTCTAGCTACTTATCCCCATCTGAGTTTTAATGGCTGCCGCTGGTGTCATGGTTCAAAACGCTGCTTCCCCTCCGAGCTTTTTTCTTTTTTTGGTTTCCTCTCTGTTGTTTATGATCCAGAGAGGAATCAATTTAGCCTGACTCATGCAAATCTGGGAAGAGACTCGGTTACAACACCAAATACCAGAAGATTTAAAGCTGGTGGAGGAGCAGGATACACAGGAAATAAAACCTGTTTTTCAGGTGCCCCCCCAAGTACCACCAGACGTCAAACACACAACTTGAAAAGGCCAAAACAGATTTGTACAGATTAGTCAGTCAGTATTTATTTTAAAGCTGTGAATCGAACCCATGAATTGTGTAAAACCTTGGTCCCACACACCAGTTTGAATAAATCACTTTAAATCTGATCAGATTATTTACAGAAAATACACCTGACAAGATATTATTTTTCAGTCAGCCATTCATTATTTTGGTCAATGTGTGTTTGACCTTTGCAGTGCTTTTCGTGAAATATGTTCAATAACAATCAATACTAAATGTCAGTATCACTGTGTATCAGCTCAGAGTCAGTTGATGTCTGGTGGTTTAATGTTTCTCTTTCTATCGGATTATTTACAGGAATGACTCCGGACGAGGTGTTTAGCACATGCAGGAGCTTTTATTTAAAATTCATTCTTATTTCTCTTGTAAAGCTCTAATGTGTGTTTTTCAGTCAGCTCTTCGTGAATTTGATAAATGTGTATTTAACCTTTGCACTATCTCTTGAAATATGCCCAGTAGCAATCAATATCAAATGTCAATACTGCTGTGTATCAGCACAGTTTGTTTAGATTTTACATTTTAAATCGGTTTATTTAAAATTATAAGACTAATTCCTCTATAAAGACATCAGTTAGTATCTGTGTGGTTTTAATCTTTAAAGGAAATACACCAGAGACGTCATCCAGTCTGTTCAGGAGGCTTAGGTTTTAACATAGATTCTTAATTGCTGTATAATTGTAGCACGTCTGTCATTTTAGATAATTTGATAAATTCTCTTTGTGGACTTGAGAAAAAAACTAATGGAATCTACTCTGAATAAAATATTTGAGTCTTTGGTGCATTATCTCTGTAAGACTTAGAAGTATTTCTTTGAGGATATCACAGCCAGCGAGTTTCACAGCTTTGCCTTCACTTGCATTAGCTTCATATCAAGTGCTCCTTCAAGTCTTTCCAGACTCTGCACTGTATTTATCGAGTCTATTCATGGCGTGGATGTGGGTTGAAGACCACTAAGCCAAAGGTATTATACCTCATATGGGTCAGACATAATCCACCTGAAGCAAACATACTTACATGCATACATACTGTACCTTTGACTAATAACCTCTTGTCCTTTCAAGGTACAAATCCCACTATATAAATCTTTATTTGAGTCTGTGACAAATGCATACGTTGATATTGACAATAATGATAAATGGACAAAGGGTGTACGAGTCTTGCATAATGCAGGCAACTGAACATTGGAAACTTTAACCCCTGAACACAGTGTGCTCAAGGCGAGTGAGGTGCTAAGTAAATATGACTTAACAGAGATATGCCGCTTAATGGGACGTTGCCATGACAGGACAAAGTATGAACAGGTATAAAAAGAGGAGACATCTTTGAATGCATCTCAGTCACTGGCAGAAACCAAGATAGACAAACAAATCAGCCTGGTATGTACATATAAAACTACATTTCTCTCATATTCAAGTTATCTTTTTTTATGTTTAACCATTTTCACTGCTTTTCTTGAAGTATGTTAAATGACAATCAATGTAAAATCAGTGTGAGCTAGAATTGTAAACCGTATATCTGCTGTCAAATGTCAGTTTCATTGCGTGTCAGCTCAGTTTGTGTCGACGTTACTTTTCAAATCAATCAATCCATAAATTTACAAGGTTAATTGCTGTAAAAAGAAAAGTTAGACCTTCCATTTGAAGGTATAACCACGAAACACAGAAGTACATAACATGTTTTATCAAACCTGTGCTTTGTCTCTCCTAGTACTGCTTTGTTGAGGAGAACAATGAAGCTGCTGGTCTTAGCTCTAAGCATCACCTTGCTGTTTACAGCCGGTGAGTCTGTCACTGATTCTCCACTGAGCTAACACAAGCCCTGCTGCTGTGCAACAGGGAGATGGTGCTTTCTCTGGAAGCACAATCACAGCAGACCTGTCTGAAAACCAAACGCAATTCTTTTCACTTTGCAACACAGCAACGTATCTGAAAAACTAAAGTAATTACTGCATGTGAAAAACAACTGATTTACTGGTGATGGTCCGAGCGGGGATGTAATCCTGTATGTCTGAATCCTGGGTCAAATAAAAACAGGCCACATCTTGACAGAGTTGAATGAGAGTCAGTGAGGCCAGAGGAAAAACAATGACTGAAAAACGTTGTTGCCGTTTCTGTTCCCAGGTGAGGCCCTGAACTGCCACCGATGTGTCCCCAGGATGGCCAGAGGAACCTGCGAGCTCACTGTCGAAACCTGTGCACCAGAGAAAGACGGCTGTGCTGCGGCCAAATTCCTCAAAGCTCCACGTGAGTTTCTCAAAATACTACACGTAAACTACAGTGGAACATATTATCTCTGCAGTGAATCAGAGTTTAGTTAAAGAAAAACATTTGCCTGCACACCTTGGCACTCGATTGTATAAACTTTTGAAAAGCCCTCAACAATGTAAATCAGGAACTTCCTTAAAAGGTCTAAGATAGTTTCAAAAAAGGTAAACAGGACGTTAACTGAGTGTGAGATGTTTGTGAATCATGCTCTACTACAGTGAGTTGCTTCCCACACAGTGAAAGGTCACAGTTCTTTTCTCTTTTTTTATTTCTTAGATGGCCATTACCAGAAATGCATGGCTCTGTCAGACTGTGAAATGCTGAAGATGAATGCCTACATCGATATAAAGTGCTGTGGCGATGACATGTGCAACACCTCTGACGATCCAGCATAAAGAATTCAAAGAGCATGACGATGAATTGGAGAAGCTCCGTCCCCCGAGGACCTCAGCAGAGCACGTCTGAAATCAAACAGCTACTAAGCGCTATAATAAGAAAATAATAAACACTGTAAACCCAATCACCCTGAGACTAATAAAGTGTTTGAATCCCAGCTTTTGTTTGAGAATTTCTTTTTAACTGCCATATGATGATCCTGAAAATAGCAGTAAATCATAGGATTCACACACGGGAGTTAGAGAGAGACTCATTCATGCTTTCATTAAACAGCCCAACATGATTTCTGCTTGTTGATTTCTATGAGATACTCAAAGGTTCTTAGTACAACAGATCTCATCTCTCTCTGACCAGATTGTTGATGAACAGAAGATGGACACAAAGAAAAAGACGGATAATGGGTCTGGTCAAATTCTCAGGACTTGAGTTTTGAAATCATTCCAACACTCGGAGCAAACATTCAAAGGTTTGAATAAATATCGGTGAAATACTTAGGCGCTCTCAGACCAAACGAGTCCGTGTTAGAGGACTGTATGGAGGTTATGAGGATGTGGATTTGTTCATTTTTGGAGTGAAAAGCAGAAACTGGAAATCCGTCAGACAGATGCTCCCATGGTAAGTTGCAGTGTGGTGAGTTGGTTTGCATCCACACAGCATCAGTGGTGCAGCATCTGGTTCAGAAGAAGCTAGAAACGGCTCCTGCTACTACAGAACATTTATTCTCCATGTTACTTTACTGAGGACTCACAGAACACATCAGTTAACAAATGTACAGAAAATCGTTGGATACTTTTGCTGTTGCAAACTTACTTCCTGCACTGACTGACATACATGGGTGCATGTTTGTAGTTACCTCTGCCAAAGAGGTTATGTTTTAATCTCCGTCCGTTGCTTTGCTTGTTTGTCTGCAGGGTTACACACAAACCCCCAAACACATTTCTGCAAAACTTGTCAGAGGGATGGGACACGGGCCAAGAAAGAGTCTGTGAAATTTTGGCACGGATCTGCACAAAGGGATGGATCCAGGATTTTTCTTTAGCGTTGCGGGAGAAGTAATTTTTTTGAGGGTTACATACATTTTCTGGGAGAATCATTCACAGAGCTTGATGAGGAGAATCGAGCATATGTAGGGGACTGATTACTGAATTTGTGCTATTTGGTGCAGCTTGATTGAATTTAATGGGACTGTTTAGTTTTACTTATTTCACTTTGTGGTTCTTTTTGCTTTACTGTAATTATTTTCTGTTTTCATACAGTAGCTCATGTGTTTTCTTTACTGCACAACAATTCAGTTTGTTTTAAACTTTTAATATTGTGTATCTACTGTATTTATTACTGAATTATCTTGGACAACTGTTAGATAAATAAACAACAGGGGACCAAAAATATCACAGAGGTCAGCAAAACGAACAATCCCCACTCCAGCCTGCTTTACATAACCACTTTTTGCTTTAATGATTACAATCAAAAACATTTGTACAACATTTTCAACATTAGAAAATGGATGCAGATCTTTTTTTTTGTTTTGGCTGACAGTAACTGCTAAGAAAACAAACTGAGGTGGAGAGGGGAGGTGGGGGATGAAGTAGAAAAAGAGCTGTTTACTGGAGGGACCAAACAGCTTGGTGATGTACCAGAAGAAACGTCTGTGTTTACTAAACCGTTCTCAGAGCATTTGCATGGCAGACATGACATTTCCCCTCGTCTTCTCCCACCTCGTGTTGTTTAAACTGATTGGGCTCGCAGCCTCTGATGGAAGCTGCATAATGAGATGCTAAGATAAATCAAGCCCATACCGTCTCTGGCCTCGGTTGCGGTTCTCGTCATTTCTCAGCACAGGAAAACATTTTTTATCTGATACACCCAAATGATGCTCTGTGTTTTTTGCACCAGTGCCCAACACAGAAATGGAGAAGGGGTGGATTGTGGGTAATTATGAGACAAGGGAACCACCACTCTTTTTTATCAAACACATGAAGAAAAACAAGGATGACAATGGAGGGGGGGGGGATTGGAAATACTGATAAATAACAGTGGATTCAGAGCCATAAATAGACAGTATTGGATATTTAGGACTCTGGGGGGGGGTGGAGTCAGCTGAGGTGGAGGAGAACTGGCAGCTAGCCTTCAAGTAACGGGATATCCCAGTGCAGTGTCCTGTGTGTTGATTGGGCGGCTCTACATCATGGAGCAGGAGGTTTTTCCTGGCTGCACGCCGCCGTCCATCTTCTCTGCCTCCAGGATCATCCTCCGGAAAACTTCCACGGCCGTCTGAGAAGAAAACGAGACACACACAAGATGCTGTCACATGTCTATGTCGCACTGCTTTGAATTTTCCGGCAGCACACACACTACATCCAGCCAGACAACAGAGATGGCGTTGTTTCGTATGTGCGTTTGAACACAACCACGCAGAGCCGCTTCGTGACTTGATTTGAAGCAGATTAACTGACTTCCTGAATGTGCAACTTCTCTGCGGAGGGGAATAAATCCACCAGAAAGGGGAAAGACAGTTTTATAAATGGTTTTCTGGCCACCTGGGGGCAGCATTACAAACTGTTTATAATAACACTAACATTGTGGTATCATGTTATACCACATATGTGGGATCATATTCCCGATCTTTAGCTGCTTAATGCTCCACTATGTTCGATTGCTAGTTGCTAACTTTTTCTGTGCCCGACATGTTTATGTGTCTGTAGAATCCAAAATGCAACATAATTTAAACCTGTAAATGTCTTTCAATGTCCATGTCCTCAAATTGTAAGAATTTGTCTTCTCAAATTATTCTTAGACTTTGGTAAAATTCCCCTCAGCGCCACAGTGGACGTCACACAACTGTGTTTTTGTGTGTTTGTGTGTGTGTGTAATGACTCTCAATAATAAGTGTGTCCCCTTTAGGGATAATCAATGTAGATGAGACCAAGACCTTTGTCACATGACACATGTATCACTCAACAACTGGATGTCCATGTATGGACAGCAGCAGACTTGTCTCTACTCACATGATAACTACGTTTCATCCACATTACAACTGAGGGTCTGCAGTGGTCTCTAATTCAAAGCATTCACTGAACCCCACCTGATGGCTACAACAACAACACTGTTTGCCAACTGGTATAAAATTAAGAAGTTGAAGAAGCTGTCCGAGGCAGTTGTCCACAGCACGAGCAACATGAGCTGCACAAACACAACACCTCAACCTTCTTGCAAGCACCTGTGGGACGTGCACTATGGTAAGAAGCACTTACCAGCACTTAGTGAACTAAAGAACTGTTTCACCGCAAAAACAAGAATCCATTTTGTTATCTGGAGCGTGCAGAGTCAGGGCACTTGTCTGCGAACAGTCCGTGCAGTCACAAATTTTGGCCTGCTTCAACATCTGCATAGTGTCCACGTGAACATGGACGGATGAGGACATTAACGCCAGGCAGACCAAAGCAGTAAGCGTCAAGTGGACACACAGATGAGTGTGATCGGGCCCTGAGAGAGTGAGTGAACAGGTTCAAACCTTCCTGCTGGACGATGACAGAGCTAAACTGGAACTGTTGTTGTTTTGTGTTGTTTTAAAGATTAGGATTATCCGTACAGCCTCGGCTCTTACCTGGTTCTCTTTAGCTGAGGACTCCATGAAGGCAGCGTTCCAGGATTCAGCTAATGCTTTTCCCTCTTCACAACTGATTACTCTACAGAAAGAAAAATAAAGCACCAATATTTTACTATAAAGGCTTGTCTTTTACAAACCCACAGAGTTTATTTCCTGCGAATTCTGCTCTTATAAACGCTCCTGACGGCCTTGTCCTGGATGTGCTGTGTTTGAGAGATTACACACATTTGTAATCGCTGCTCTTTATTTGGGTCTGCAAACCAAATATTAACATCTGCTCTTCATTCTCTCTGCTCTATGAGTTTTGCTTTTCTGCCTTTTGAAATAATGAGAAGTTGAAGAGAAATGATGATTTAAACTGTAAGTGCTTTGACCCATTTATGCACCTACTGTATATGTAAACCTATTGCAAACCTATAGTACGTATATCCTTGATGTATGTAGTGGATCTAAGGTACAGTGTGTGTCACATACCGCTCCATATGTAGGTCATTCTTGTTCCCAACGAGCATAATTGGTACTCTGCATCGGAGGAAAAAATAAATGGCACAACGCATTTTTATATGTTATATGTTAAATACAGTGTATAACATAGTATACGATATAAATAATCATAAACATAGTATGTCCCAGAATGCATTGATAATACTCACTGAACCTTTCCCACCATGTCCAACAGTTTTTCGTGGATAACTTGTACGACTTCAAAGCTGGAAGAAACGAACGGAATATTTACTTTACGCACTCCACCTCATCATTTAGAATCCAAATTAATTTCTCTTTGAAAGTCTGATGTGAAATTATACCTTTTATTAGATGTAACTGAATAGACCAGAATGTAACCATTGATATCTATGGAGTAAGTCTGTGGGAAGATAGAGTATTCATCCTACGGGGAGACGGAGAGAGAGAGAGAGAGAGAAGGGAACAGTGTCCAGTTTTACAGTTTGAAGAAATCAGTGCCTGATAATGACGGATTAATGGAGCAGAGTTAACACCGAACTATGAAATAAAATCCAATTTTCACATAGAAATCCATTAAGCACTCGGGGGCTGATAAAGAATGCACTGTATCATACCTGTCCTGCTGTGTCGACCAGCTGAAGATGGTACTCCTGTCCGTTTATTGTGATCATTTTAGTAAACGCTGCAGTTAAGAGAAAAGACAAATTTGAAATCAACCAAAGGAAAATTAAAATTTTAATAGATGGAGAGCAAGATAAAAACGGTGAGAACCAGCGCCTCACAGCCGACAGTGTCTAATTTACTGCATGTTTCCAGTCTGCAGATCCCGAGACATCCAAGACACAACCCTGTTATGGATCCATCTTGGTAGGACTGGGACCACTGAGTTCATTTGGTGCAGGAATGTCGATATCTGCCCGGAGATGGGTATATTATCTATAGCGGGACAGAGCGATAGCTGCGCCCGAGGCTCCTCGTAGATAATGCTGATACTTCACTTTATGTCCACCATCCAAGGATTATTTATAGATAGAGACAGGACCACACATTTCGAGGAAACGCAGGGTGGTGATGTGAGTAAACAC